TCAGAAAAATAGATTATTACATCAGAGAGTGACTCTAAGCCAGAAGATGTAACAACTCAACCTCAGAATCAGCTTAGAGTCTTGGAAATATTAATAGCCAGGTGTTGTGATCTTAAGGTTAAGAGTTTCTGTGTGTGTGTGTGTGTGTGTGTGTGTGTGTGCATGTGTATGTGTATACTTTTCTCTAAGTGCATCTGGACATTATATTGTAATTATTTTTAGTCTATATTGAAAATGAATTGATTTATTTTTCTGGCTTATGTCTTAGGATAGAAGCTTGAAAACCAGGACAGTGTTAGCTTGTACATTTAGAGAGGAAAGAAGTGTTTATTTTTGTCTGTTAGCCAGGTTCTAATGGAAGCCTTTTCTCTTCCCAGATGCAAATGATAAGTTACTGGGGATACCCTGCTGAAGAGCATTTCGTGGAGACAAAGGATGGATATATTCTGTGTATTCACAGAATCCCTCATGGGAAGCAGAAGCATTCTTACCAAGGTATGGTGTTTCCTGTGGTAAGAGAGAAGAGTTCTTCAAATAGGTTCATCAAGTTCCACACAAATGGCTCACAGCTGGAGCTGGGAATCTCATTAACTATGCTGTGAGAATGCATTCCTTCTTTCAGGCCTCTCCCCCTCATCAGCACAGCAATTAACAGGCAAGGTTCCTGGCTTGTGTGTGTATCACACAAGGTGCCTTGCTCTGGAATATGAAAGAAAGCATGAGTCTTGAGATGCTCCCAGGTCCTGGAAGAAGCTTTAGGGGACACCAGTGCAGCCCTAGAGTTGCCACTGACTCCTATGTGTTCTCCCCACTGTGAGTCTTTTACCACTTCTATGACTGTAGCAAGGATCGATTGAACACAATAACCTCAAAGTTTTTTTCTTTGTTATCATTTATTTATTTATGTATTATTCTGTGCTCTACAGGTTATTGGTCATGTTCTTTCTTTGTGGGGGAGGGGTGATGGGGAATGAGGAAGTATATACTGGGTCATCAGAATGGAGAACATAGATTAAAAGTACCTACTCTAAGTTCTGTCTTCCATAGCATCTTCTTTCTATGTAGGATTCCCCTGGTAGAGAATCTTGATGTGTATTTAATACCTGTTCGAGCCTACCTCAAGGGGGACTTTTCATGAAATGTGTGATATCCTTCAGTTCTCTGGAGGAATTGTGATTTTCCTAAGAATTAAGCTTTAGTTTTCACTGTCCACAGCAAAGGATCTTCATTTTCCTATGTGTCATTCAAGAGCAATGTTGTCAGTGCTGTTACTTTAGCTAATGGAAAGCCAAATAGAAGAAAAGAATGCATAAAGTCCTTTGCACTGAATATGGAACTTCTTTTCTCATGCAGACCACTTTCTCTCCTGACCTCCTATAAATATCACCACTACCTTGCCTTGACCTAGACTGGACACTACAAAGTCATTCTTTCCTCTCTTCTATCTCCTCCTCTTCCTCATGCTCATTTCAATCTTTCTCTTCCTCCTCCTCTCCATCCTACTCTCCTTCTCTTCTCCCTCGCCCTCCTCTTGCTGTTAAAATTCTCTGCAGTGCTGATAGTTGAACCCAAGTCTTCCACATTGTATACAAGCACCAGACTACTATGCTTCTTCCCTGACTATGCAGAATCATTTTTTACACTCCTCTTCAAACAGCTGTTAGGATCTCTCTGGGCCACCCATGTTATATCCCTTCCTCATGGTCTCTCATTACTCTTTCTTTTTCCCCTGACATTTAAAAAATGTTATTTTAAAGGGATTTTGTACAGAGGGATTACAGTTATATAAGTCAGGTAATTAGTGCAGTTCTTTGTGAAAGTGTTTCCCCTTCTCTCCTTTTCTTCCATGTTCCCCCTCCTGTCCCCCTTCCTACAATTTATATACACTATTTTCAAAATAGTGTCTCATGAGTACCACTGATGTTTTTGTTCACCCTTTTTTTCTACCATTTTTCTGGACATCTGAAATAGTGCTTGTGTGATTTCCTTTTTTATGTTTCCCTTACGTGGACATTTACATTGCCATTGCTGACTTTTCTCATTTGTGAGTCTTAGGGCTTGAGCTCAGGGCCTGGGCATTGTCCCTGAGCTCTTTTGCTTAAGGCTTGCACTCTACCACTTTGAGCCATAGCTCCAATTCTGGCCTATGAGTGGTTAATTGGAGTTTAGAGGGTAAGGGGATCTTTCTGCCTGGGCTGGATCTGAACTGCAATCTTCAGATTACAGCCTCCTGAATAGCTACCATTATAGGTGTGAGCCTCCAGTGTCCAGTATGCTTACGGTTTTTTTTTCTTTTTTTCTTTTTTTTATTGTGAAAATGCCATACAGATGGATTATAATTACATGGGCAAGGTAATGAGTACATTCCTTTTTTTTTCTTTTTTATTTGTGAACATACTGTACAGAGGTGTTACAATTACATGGGCAGGATAATGCGTACATTTCTTACCAAGCATTGCAGCCTCCTCCTTTGGTTTGCCCTTCACATCCCTTCCCAGCCTCCCCCCTCCCCCCAATCCCAACCCTTCTCTTCCCCCCCTTAACCTCCCCCCCGGACCGACGTTGTAAAGCTTGTT